GAGGTTGTAGCTATTAGTAGGCATGAAGCCAGGAAAAAGAAGAAAAAAGATAATAGGAATTTATGTATTTTTTCGACCAAATACAATCCCAGAGGACCAGATATCCGTAAGATCTTAAATAAACATCATAGAGAAATTATTTGTAACGATGAAAAGGCCATTGAGGTTTTACCAGAGGAAGCCATTTGTGTGGCATATAAACGTAATGCCAACTTAAAAGAATTGTTGGCCCCCTCGATCTAATCCATTTAAAATTAAAAGCCGGTCGTATAGGGAAACTACAGGCTGTTTTAGGTGTAAAGCCAAGCGATGTGACTGTTGTAAAAACTTTTTAGAAGGTTCCACCTTTAGTTCCACAGTTTCTAAAAGAGTATTTCAGATTGGTAAAGATCTTACTTGCACCTCCGATAATGTTGTTTATCTTGCTAGTTGTGTTACTTGCAATTTGCAAGGAGTGGGTTCTACTAAGACCCGACTCGCTAATTACAAGTCTCACATCAAACGTAATAAGAGAACCTGAGGTATTGTTAACCATTTTCTGGATTGTCATGGTGCTGATTATTCATTGTTGAAATTCATGCTAATTGATCGGCGCCAGGGCAACCTAAGGGAATGTGAAAATTTTTGGATTGGTATGCTATTGACTAATCGAAGAGGACTTAACTCTACGCATGATTTTGTACAACAATAGGATTAGGTTAATTACTTAGCATGCTAAATAGTATAAATGCCAGCTGTAACTTAGTTTTTATTCTGAGGAAGGCCGTGTCAAGTGGCCGAAAATTTATTATTTGTATACTTTACTTTAGTCATCTTTAATAAATTCTTCGATACGTAGCCATCTCTTTGTCGTAATATATATATATACATATATATATATATATATATATATATATATATATATATATATATATATATATATATATATATATATATATATATATATATATATATATATATTGTCATTTTTACTAAAAGCCTAAAACTTAATTACAGTTAGAACGCCCATTAAACTATCCATTTGACATTTATAATTGTCCATTTAGGAAAATGGCAGGGCTTAGGATTACCAAACCTCGCCCAGCGTTAAATTACCTTTTACAATGTTACTCTAATCGAATTTTCATGCTTCCAAAATTACCTTTAAATAATTGGTTTATAATCTCAGTTTATTTACAATAACAATATTTTCTTAAATGAGGTAATAAATTGGCTATACATTTTGGCTGATCGCCATATTTATTAATTCTACTGACGCTACCCTTGACAAGGAACCGGCCATATACATAATGCACGCTTGCTTCGAACACACCATGATTTGGAAGTGTAATAAAAGTAACCTGATAGCTACAACTGTCTTTTGGTTGTATTTTATCGGATGAATATTCCGGTTCATAACCATCTTTTCCCGACTGTGAAAACCTGAGTACTTGTGTAGTTGGGATTTCTACTTCTGCTCGAATTAGTTTTAGAAGTCTAAGTTCTGAACACCTTTCTGCTCCCAAGGGTTCATGAAAAATCAAATCGTTAATATGATTAATTGCTGTAAGCGCCGCTTGCTGTGAATGTTCGTGTTTATGGTCGACTGCTGACCACTGCACACACGGGCACCAGTGTGGTGGAATACTTGAATCTTTGCACGAACGTTCCACAGGTATTTTTGACAGTAGGCTCATACCATGTTTCAAATTTCTCGGCTTATTTGGATACTCCAACAGGTGATTGAACGTGGCGTAAAGATCGAACCAACTTGTCAACCGTTTAGTATTAGTCCTAAGATTCTTTGCCACAGTTGGGTATTTTTGTTTGAACCATTTTGGAAATGTCATGGAAAAAAGTGGAAGCCTTTCCTCCAATTTTCCTTGTACCGTCTGCCTGAAGTCACCATATCTCCAACCATGGTCACCCAACAGGATCAGTAAAGTGTTATTTAAATATCCTTTCGTGTTAAATTTTGTGAGAAACTGCAGCAGATCCTTGTCAATAAGTTGCACTGCATTAAAACTGTCGTGTGATATTTCACCTGAAATCAGAAAATACATTTACTGCTGATAACATACACGTATAGTTCAGCATTTGTTCTCATGTTCTGTTAAGGCCTGTTTATATACTTGCAATTTTTGCTGCTATTTTAGGTGCGATGTTCTTCCTCTGTTAGATGTGAACGAGTGGATGAGTTATGAATGTTCAGGTGAGGCATTGCCTATCGAAGGGAAGATTGCTGTGAAACTCATTAGATTGATTAGAATAGCAATATAACTCATTATCTATATTTGGCAATGTTTATTCATAAATCTGGTCCTTCACCGTCACGTGTGTATTGTATTTTGTCAAATCCGCCAATAGCAATTTCCAATAGGCAATTCCAGCTTTTAGTTTATGCGTGCAGGGGATGATGGGAAGTAAGGTATCATATTGTTGATTATGCTGAAAAATTTTAATAAAAACTGCCAAAACAACCGAAATATTTCAATATTTACAACTATAAGCTATCACTCCGTGTTTATACGGCCACCATTTTTATTTTTTCAGCATAATCAGCAATATGATACCTTACTTCCCATCATCCCCTGCACGCATAAACTAAAAGCTGGAATTGCCTATTTCCCTATTGTTTGAGTCACGGATAGGTAACTTTCCTAAAACATTGCTATTGGGTAGTTGGGCAAAATACAATACACACGTGACGGTGAAGGACCAGATTTATGAATAAACGTTGATTAACATAGATAATGAGTTATATTGTTATTCTAATAAGTTTCACAGCCATCTTCCCTTCGATAGGCTAATGCTATGGGTACATATACAGAAGATTCATAACAAATCTACTTCTTTCACATGCATTAATAGAAGAAGAAAATCGTACACTAGAAATTGCAGCAAAAATTGTAAATATAATTGGTGCTTTCGAATGTTTGGCCTTTTTCGTAACATATAGTTATTATATACATGCAAAATTACTGCAATCTGATTGGTTAAAAGGAGTGCAATTATTTCATTAATTGCACTCTCCAGGAGTGTAATTAACGATTTTCGTGATGGCTGGGGGGAGCGGGAAATCAAAATATTAAAACAACAAAAATCCAATATGGCGGCGAAATTTATCATGTATAAATAACAAACGTGGACGAATAAATCAATTTAACTAAATTGTGGCACAAGCATGAGTTTAAAAAACATAGTATGGCAAAAAGAGCCTGTGGAAAATACCTGGAAACAGTTTTAAGAAATAATCTCGGCGGGATCCAGCGAAAAGTGACCATTATGTCTATGTCTATGACTATGTAAGTCTGTATTAAAAACAATTTATAAAGATTTTCTTACTCTAAAATATGTTGTTTGAGTTTGAATCATGTGTTCTAGTTTACGTTATGTGCCTTTGTGAGTTTATGATCATTTCGTGAGTTTATGATCACGTTATGAGTTTATGATCATTTCCCACGTTTGTTTATGCCAAATTTCTTACAAGAGAATTAAAAACTCTTGACAAAATGCATTTGAATTTTAATGGAAGCAATTTTGTCATGCATATAATAAATAAATAATCACACGGGCAAGTCGTGCAATTAATGATTAACTACTCATGATTTTTGAAAAATGTGCCAAATTGCACTCGCCTCAACGGCTCGTGCAATTTTGGCACTTTTTTCAAAAATCACTCGTAGTGGCTTTTCTATTTTCACCATGAATTATTAATCAGCTTTTTAATTTTAGATACAAAATTGCCTGGTCTAGTGGTGTTGAATAATATTTTACCTGGAAAGTGAAAGATAAATTTCTTTCGTTCAGGATACTGCTCGAAGATTTTCGTTGCTAGATTAAGATGATAATTATATATTTTCTCACTGCCATAACAATGAGGATTCTTGTTAGAGTAAGATTCCTCTGCAGCTAAGAAAAATGCTCGTGGATAATAATCGGTTGGTGGATCTTGAAAACCAAGTAGTCTGTATTGAAAAGTTCCTATACCAGGCGAGTCTTCACAAAATGATGTCACGTAACCATGTGCTACAAAAAATGTAAAGTGGGTAATCAATCAATGCCAAATTTGAATGTCAATTGAGATTTAAGTTACGTTTTTGTGAGAGATGATTGAATCAAGTAAGATCAGAAAATCTGAGAATGGTAAACCAAACTAAATTAAACGGAGTTTATCTGTTTGTTCTAAACTGTTACGTTCCCCTGTTTTCCAGCGTTAATGCAGAAAAGGACAAAGCACCCAAAGAAAATGCAACCTGTGATGTTTAGTAAAGTCAAATTGAAAGCGCACTCCACACATAAGACACTTTATCGTATTCAAGGAATCAAAGGCCAGTCGCAGATGAAAGGCACGCACATAAATTAGTCTCTACATGTGCCTATATTTAAATTAATGTATCGTTTCGACTGGTTAACATTACTCCAGCGTTACATCTAATTCTGTCGATGTTGTATTGTTGTTGCATATCTGTTCGATGAAACCAGATACTACTAGTGACTAGAGAAGTCATTGAAATCATTCAGTCGTGTTACAACCTCTTGGACTGATTGTCAACGGTTCAAAAATACTTTCTTACCTTTGGCTTTCTTGAATATCCAATTCCAGTTATCTACAGGCTTGGCATTAGGTTCTCCTCGTCTTGATTCAGCGTACTCTTGTTCTCCCTGGCCAGTTAAAAATGCCGCTAATTGTTCGGTAGTACCATCTCCTACCACACTATGTCCCATAAACATATATCCTTCAAGAATATTGCGTATGTAATTGTATGATTTTGGAAGTTTTCTTTGTGCATGGCCATTAGAGATAGAATCAATGCCAATGATAAGGATATTTAAATCTAATTCTGATGCAGGTGATGGCCTTGATATTATTTCTTTTCTTGGAACCACTTGCATGAGATATTCCTTCAACACTTTTTGATCGGTTAGAATCGACGTCAGTTCTATGTATTCATGAGGCACTGGGAAATTGTGGGAATTAATTGCAATAGGATCGCCCATCAGGAATGAAAAGTCATTGCTTTCTGGTCGAACTATAGATCGATAGACGGCATACGCTACGTCTGTACCTTTAAAAGTTATGAACATCTGGTTAAAACGATAATCTATTTCTCTCTCGTCAGTTGAGGAATGCGGGAAGAAGTAGAAGCTATGTTATGTAGGAAAGAGTAGAAACATTAATAGATGAAAAAGCTAGCAGTTGAACATTCCGATTCAAAATCGAAATGCACTGTAGTTATAATCTTATCCAATTGTTGACAAAACCTTTGGGCACCTCTTTACAATATCAGTTGTGTTATGGTATTGTATCATAAATATAGACAGTGCAATCCGTTCTTAATGAAAGCATAATGTCATACATCAACATTACTCAGGGGGAGGGGGTATCAGGGATGCCGGAACCACGGATGCAGCAGATGCAAGTGCACCCTTTGCTTACAGTTAATTTCACTTACCAGTAATATTTAATACTCCACCACTTAAAGTAGCCCTTTGTTCCGTTTCACAACGTAATGGATCACTAAGGTCTTCCACAAGCTTCATGGCGTGTGGGTGAAATGGATCAAGTTTTGGTATCCGACATGTTCCATTGCCTGACGTCGTGTTCATTACATACCCTTCAATTGGGGGAGCACAGTAATTCTAGATAAACACATAACAATTGATGGAGTTTTTGGATATAAAATAAATATTTTGGTTTATCTGTTTAGTGAGGAGAGCCGGAGAGGAGAGGTCGCAAGTTGGAAGTCTGGATAGAAAACGATTAGGTAACATGCAATTTTAGATGTCATATAGTATACTGACACATAAGTTTATAGGTGAATAACAGTGGCGATGCCAGCCCGACAATTTGGTCATGCCATGCAAATATTTCTGTGTTCATAGACCGTGAAAGCAATCAATTTCTGAAGAAATGAATATTAATGATAATGATTTAAAATTTGCATAGCAATTGTCGGGCTGGCTTCGCCACTGGTATAAATAGGTAAGAAGTTAAGAACGCGAAATTAAGGCAAGTAAGCAGCGGTCCATACCGGCTCAAGGCCGGCGAGAGGGGGAGGGGGCAGGGGGGGGGGGCGGAACAAAATACCCGGGACCCGGAGTGCTCAGAGGGGTCCGGAAATCTCGGTAAAATGTTCGTATTGTTTATCATCGCTTTATATGTTTGTCCTAAATGAAATACGCCTACTTGCACACTATCCGCTGATCGTCGTCATCGATCGTAAAACGTAGCAAATGTAAAATCAGCAAAAACAGTTGGCTGAACATCATTCACATTGCGTTTTTATCAGTTATGCGGCGATTTCTTGCAAGTAATTCGCTGGCAATTCTCTCGTTGATTTCGATTAAAAATAGCGGGAGAGTCGAGAGGGACAGGGGGTCCGTGTTCACCAATCGTCATTTTGTCCCGGGGCCCGTGGTTGGCTCTCGCCGGCCTTGTTAACCGGCTGGTTCGATGGCATGCTCCACTCGTAAAATTTGTACATTCGGATGGTATTTTGTATTTCATGCGAGAGGCGATGCGGATTCAAATTTGGACAAACTATTCAGACGAAACATTCCTGAAAAAAAGTTGGTTGTGGGGGATACATGTCCACCAAAGAACCCTGTCTCTTTCATCCTCCACTCCAAGTGAGACTAGGATTCGTACAGTTTTCTTCGCCAACATTATTTTCTGCACACCAACCTTTCCATGTTTAAAGCGTTTCACTTGATGTGGTACAAAAAATTGTAATATTTTGTTTTCATCCGTAACGTGTTTCATTTTATATGGAGTAGCTTCAACATTCCTTTTCTTTGATATGAAATCTCGGAATGAGTTTTGATTGATGCTCACTACTTCGACCTAATAAAAAAGGTAGACTTATAATGATAAAAAAGACATGTATTAGTAAAATTTTTAGAGTGGCCACGAGCACCTCGCATCCTGACTGGTCGGAATTCAGCGTTTCAGATGTTTTATATATAGTCCGATATATATAAGATGTTTTATATATAGTCTACAATATACTCCATGGCCAGTGAGTAATATTTTTCAAAATGCGGAAAATTTCCGCTAAATTTCGTCAACCTTCAACATGGGAAACAAAGGGAAGTAATTTGCGAATTTTGCTTGTGATTTCATTTCTCAATGAAGCTTAGTAAAAGTTGACATGGAACAAGTCTATAGCCAACCTGTATAGTTGCGCCAACTACATTTATTCGTCGGTTTATTTTCCTTTGAAATTTTTGGTTTCGATGGTGAATATAATATGAACTGCCAATTCCACAATATATAGACTATGCCACAAACCCGCCTCAGTTGTATGTACTCAGTTGGAGTGGAAATTAAGAGTGGAAAATAACCTAATTTAATTGAAAAAAAAACTTTTCCATTGATCTCTAACGTGCAAATATTATAGTTATTCTCATGGTTGTGTACTCTAAATTGCAAACTTATACAATTTAACTATATTCAAGCATCACATGCAGACAATGTAATACTAGTACTGCAAACAGAATATATATTTACATACTTTTGCCGTGCAAGAATGCTTGGTGAGTTGATGCATGGTTGCATGGGTCCGGGGGAAAATTATTTTCAGGTCATGTGAGATTGCGTCAGTAAAACTTGTCATACCAGCTGCTTCTTGAAGTACAAGTACAGCAACAAACGGTCCAAAGTTAATTTGATAATGAAATTAACAATACCTACTTGATTAGCAAAAATCCAAACTGCATAATGACGTATTACGTGGTACGTATAGAAACAAACAACGATTGCAACAACAAATTTCAAGAAAACAATGCGCCCATATAATAGTTTTTTAAAACTCCTCATTCTGAAAGAAAAGTTAAAATGGTCTTTTTAATCACATTCTCAGAGAAAATGTCAAAGTGGAAAATGTATTTGTAAATATAAATATAGGATATCCCCAAATACTCCCCAAAACAGGCCGATACATGTATATATACAGTATCTTCATATGCAGCTGCAGGATAATCAGGCTTTGAATAAATAATTTTAAAAAAAGCACAGTATCTTAAAAACCTTATAAAGCGTGTCAAACGACTCTAACATCTGGATTGAGTTTAATTGTATTGAGCTCAGGGAAGTCTAACTGTTAACCGAGACCGCACACTACATTATACTACATATCTATATTTGTATAGTCGCTCTACATCTACGGGTTGAAGCCATGATTACTGGGAAATATTGTTTCCTAGGTATGTTTTCCAAAGGTTGGTGAAGCAGAAAATCCTAATTGTTGCCGCAACAAACGTCAAGGCCCATTTCCACTCAAGAAAGATTTCCACGGACAGAAAATTTTCCAAAAATATCATTGTTAAAAGTTGAAATTTTCAACTTCAAAATTCTTTCCGACGGAAAATTCGTGTCGGCCAATCACATTTTACAATTTTTTCTTTCTGCGGAAAATAGTCTTGAGTGGAAATGGACTTTCACACTTTCACACTGAAACAAGAGATGCCAGTTCTGAAAATAAATGCTTTGATTGATTGATTGATTGATTCCTCGACAATGAGCTTATTATTTGGTGGTCAATCATATACGTATAGGATGTACCTACGTTAATAAATTACTTGTCCCACTGAATTGTCAAAATCCTCTTCCTCGCACTGTCGTTGGTACTTTAGCTCTCCGATGAATTTCGTTCAAATTGATTTGCACATATAGATACTCGAAAATCTTGCGATAATTCGAATCAAGGATACTCACTCTATACGTTAATACCATTTGTCATACAACCTGTTAATTTCTTTTATTACCTTTATTTAATTTTCATTTAATTTGAATAGAACACCAGTCCATCACATATGTCAGCTAATATATTAGGTCAAGGACCTGCTTTTAAAACAAAACAATTAAATTTGTTGTAATTTAATGAAAGATTCATTGTTTTTTACACTTCTCAATTCATCTGTGGACCAGTCACTCACTCACTCATTGAATATCAATAATAAAATTAAAATGTTACAGCTTTATACAGGGTATATAAAAAACCTGGGCAAACCAAGCTAGACAATTTTCAAATAGCCGCTAAACTGAAAATTTGGCTACTTTGGGTAGCAAAGGATCTTCTGATTTCACTAAGACTGCATGTTCTAAAAATTAAACTGCCGAGTGTACAAGGTTTGTTTTTAGCAACCACATTAAAATGGCTTAGGCGCAAAAATGGAAGGATCAAACGCAATCTAAATCCATAGCGGGCAAGTTTCAAATGTGGTTTTTGAACTATCACGAAAGTGCAAAACAAATTGATAAACATTGGTGGCAAGTGAACCGTCTGACCTCTAAAACATGCACTATTTAGCTTGTTGAAAATACGAACATGGAGTAAAAGAAAATTTTATTGTTGCAGATCAGTATTAATATGAATTGAACGATTTTTGAATGCTAATGAGTGAGGTGTATGAAATCAATCTTGCACGGAAAAATCCAAGTAATTAATCTAGACATTCCCGAACGGACATTAGTGTCAGTCAAATCAAAAGACCCTTTTAACTATCAATTCAATTCAATATAGCTATCTATTGAAAGCTTTGCAAACATTACCTATAATCAGTAGGTTATGTTGCCCTCCTCAGTGAAGGTCTGTTGCTTTCCTTTTTTCGAAAATATAAGGAAGAAAGAGAAGAAGAATAAGTGAATAACTTAGTTAAGAAGGGTGTTTTAATATTTCCGTCATTAATTAAACTCCTGTTTACACGAAATATATCAGAAAGTTTGGTCTAAAAATGCAGGACAACAAAATTCAGAGCCTACAAAATACTGAATACGAAATCCTACAGGATTGCACTTCTCCAGTTGACTGCTATCCTTGATCCTACCGCTCCTCCTCCCATAAAAACAACCCAAACTAACCAACCAAACAAACCAACCATTTTGGTTAGGTTGCTTCGTTTTCATGGTACCGGCATAACTGGAATTATACGCAGGCTTGGTACTAAATACTGAATCGATATTTCTGGACATCTTGGTAGTACTGATCACATGGGACCGGATCATTCGGAATACCACTTGCCTTCACAAAATTTCCACACATGATTTCACATATTTATGAAACTTTGGTGCTTTGTCACATTCGAACTGCTCAAATTCCCACGTATATATGAAATAGAATTTCATTCATGTGAAATCAATTTTCGTATGAGCCTTTACTTTATCCATATGGGCGAGAGCACATGAAATTAAATTAAATTTCATATCTGAATTAAATTTTATACCTGAATTAAAATTCTGAACTGCACACATGAAATGTTCATTTTCAGACGTCAAATGTTCCATTCTACATGCAGAATTGGTCGAATTTGCGCACGCTGTTTGTGTGCCCTTTAGTGCTATTTTTTCTAATGCATCGCTCAATTACAGTATTGCCCATCCCGCTGGCATGATTTGCACAATTTTTTCCTGAAGTGTACAATCCACCAGGGGCTGGACAGGAAAATCGCGACAATGTCCCATCACAAGTAGGCAAAGAAATGACGACAACACCCAGCTCGAGACACATTCATAATTTAGTGGAATGTTACGCCTCGTAAAGACCTAGATGGCCCGAAAATCAGTGCATGGTAATAAATTTCTGTTGAATAAAATACATTTAAACTATTACCACTGTCAGTCTCCGCCTGCATTGTTTAAGCCTGCCGCACACGAGAGCTATCTGCTGAGCAAAAAGTTACTCGTGCCTGTTAGCTCAGCCGATAGCTCACCGTGTGCGGGTACATTTTACTGAGTTTTTTGCCTCATGCAACCTTTTCTCACGTATCAAACATGTTTGATCGGTGAGCTATCGGCTGAGCTAACAGGCACGAGTAACTTTTTGCTCAGCAGATAGCTCTCGTGTGCGGCAGGCTTTACGCGCGGTCAGCTTTGTGACGTGCGATCATGTATGTATTTTGTATGTATGACTATAGAAGACTAGTATTGTTTGACCAAATAATAATATCGTGATAGTCACAAAGCTGACCGCGCGTAATTTGACTCGGAGAGTGAGTAGTAGTAATAGTTTAAATGTACTTTATTTATCAGAAGTTCTGATTATGATTTTTTGGCTACCTATAGTGTAAAGACGAGGAAGTTTTCCCGGACCCGTTTCCTTTTGTATAACCCATTAACCCCAGCTGTTGAACAAAAAAATCCTCATTGATCATCTGTTTAACTGAAGCTTTTATAATGGTAATACAATGTAGATATACTAATTAAAGTATTGTACGATGAATATTATTCCGCCGTAAAACCCATATTCACAAACGTCAAGTAGTTTTCATTTTAAGCTATGAATTAGGGCACGTGTTCGCAGCAGAAACTTTCCTAGCTTGCGTGCGTCGCTAGGAGGTGGGAGTGAGTTGACGAGAAACAGAGCTGGGTGAAAAACATAGAAAAGGTGGAGGGGCGAAAGTAATAGCTGAAACATTTCGGTCAAGAGAAATATCCGGCGGTAATCAAATGCCCATTCTGGGGGAAATTTTGAAAGTACCAATGCCCGATCCAGGGGTAAAAGAGCTCGCAAATGCCCGGGGGTTTCCAGGAGGGGATGATCAATGATAGAATTGATTCCTGTGAAGGCTTTAATATTTCACATCAGCATGATAATCTAAATTATAAACTCTTGTCTCTAGTCTTTCTGAGTGTAGTTAAATTTACTGACTCATATATAGAGGTTGGTAACATGGAGATTGACTGTTTAATACCACTATTTAATACGTGTACCACTCCAACAACTATTTTAATACGTATGCCACTCATACATAAAGTCATGAAGTGTTGCATTTCTATAAGTCAGCATGAGTTTCGTGGGCTCATCAAGGTTGTTTAAAAGCGCGGGGTATCGCGGGAAATTTTGAAATCTTGCTCAAATTTTACAACGTGTGCTGCAATTATTTTAAAATTTGCAACGAAATATGGCTGAATCCAAGCAACTTCAACTCGAAAAGAAAGATCCCGAGTAAGTATATGTTATTTAACCATTTCATTCGTTTTACAAGTGTTATAATGCATGCGAAACCTGCTAAATATGGTTCAAAATATGGCAGTATTAAAGTGCCAAATTTAAGTCATTTGTTATTTATAAATTAGTCATGTTTGATTTTCACAATATTGTGATAGCTTTTTTAATCCTGTTTCCTCTTATTTTATTTAGAAAACGAAAGATATCTTGCCGGTAAGTTGATTGCTCCAGTAATCTTGGATTTTTTCGTGTTTATCAGTTATATTTCTGACAGGACTTTAAACAAATTCATTATTAATATTGTATCACGTCTGTTATATTTATACACGTAGGTACTTCGTCCGTGGATCGTGTCGAGAAGGAAACAAATGTTCATACTCTCATGACCGCTCTGATATTCCGGTTAGTGTTCTGTGCGTTTGCCTCTGGGCCATTCCATTTAATATCCGCCACCCCCCACCCCCTATGGACGAAGTCAGTAAAATTTTAACTCCTAAGAAAAAAGATCGAAGTGCTGACACAAAACACCACTCAGAAATTTGTAAATTTTCCCTTTGTCTCTCAGAAATATCACAGAGATCAAAGGATGCCGACAGGCTTAACCCCCTCAGAAACAACTTTGGAGTTTCCCTTCAGAAAAGTTCATCCTTAGGAGGAGGGGGGGGGGGGGTGTGTGGACATTAAATGGAATGGCCCTCTAGACCTTGTATAAAAATATCTGGCTGTTTATTTAAATGTTTTGAGTGCCCCCCCCCCTAGATGAGTAAATCGCCTGTTGTTAAGGCAGAATTAAATCCCAAAATCTCTTCAAAATCCTAAAATATTGCGAAAAACATGACTCCTCTAAAATAGATCTGTTGAAAATCTCACAAAAAGTCGCAAAATCCCTGGGTATTTTTGCAGGGCACTTTTTCAGATTAATGCACCTTTGCTTAAAATTATGCGCCGATCAAAACGAAGGTGTAACATCCCCCTCCCCTGACACGTGAGGGGCATTTGCCATTCATGATTTTCCCTAGGGGCGGGCATCTGTTGTCGAGAAATTTAAAGTGGTGGGGCATTTGATTCCACTTATAATTAAAATGAGGATGGGGATTTGATCACAACTAAAAACTATTAGTTAAAGTTTACCTAACATGAAGACTATATTATAGATTGACTTGTTGCCCGCTGACACAAGAAACCACAGCCCGGTTTAACATTTCAATCAAATGCACATTTTTTGCTTTAGTGTTTTAAAGAAAATGGCAAAAATTTTAGTAAACAATTTTCAATGTCAAAATGTAAATTATTTTCAAGATTGGTTGGACCAGAATGGACTGGGGAAGTTAAAAGTTGAATAATTTTAACCTTCAAATTGAATTTACAATGGGGCATTTGAACTTTGTTTTTTGACTTGGGTACGTGGTGAATTTGATCATTGCAAAATCCAAAAAGTCATGCCCGGGTATATGGCCGGGAGGGGGATGTTACACCTTCGTTTTGATTGGTGCAATTATATAAATGCTGATTATCCGTGTGAGGTTTAATCGCACAAGGCGACAAAGTTGTAGAGACTTGTGTATGAGAAAGGTCACAGAGCGAGATTACAATGCAACAACTGGATGTGGACACTTGTTGTAATCACAAAGACTATGTTTGCATAACTGGAGTGAAACACTTGTAACTGCTGTACACATGTCATGTGTGTAATCTTTCTACTCCCTCACCATGGGCTTGTAAAGAAATCTTGCAGGGCCTGAGGGGAAAATGCACCCGAAGTCCTTACCATGTTACAACCAGAAACAGCATGTTTGATACCAACATTTCTCTTGGGTCGCAACCAGGGGCGGCCGCCCCCCCCCCTTCACGGAAAATTGACGAATTTTCGGAAATTTTGACCTAAAAGAGGGCTAAAAACAGTCTTTTCGAGTGCAAATAGGGGGGTATGTCGGAAATTTGAAAGTTTTGTCGGAAATTTAGGAGGCTTTGCCCCCCCCACCAGAAAAAGTGAATTTCCGCCACTGGTCGCAACTGGATAATTCCCCCAATTTGATTTTGGACCATCTAAAATTGGCTGATACTCTCAGGCTACAGTAAGTCATGACCATTGAGTCACTTGTGAAATTCTGACAATAGTATCCATTGTGTTAATTGGGTGCAATTTGATATTGTAGCACCAATTAAAGAAGAGCTAACCAAGCTCTAAATGTTTCTAAATTTCTGTTTTTTTGGCAGTTCTGGTGTTCTGAAGGAATAGTAGTTTCTAATTTTTAAGCCATTTTTATATAATAAATGACCATTGATCTGCTCTTACCTGAACCTCATTCCAGATTTTTACCTAATGGACTGAGTTGAATGGCTACATGTAAGCTTTCTTTGCTCCATAGCTTTATTCTTACAGAGGGATGGGGGTGGAGTTTGCAAAATTAGATCACAGATCACAGGTGTAATATTGGAATACAATTGGGAAATTCTAATCAGTTTTGGCAATGATAGTTGCTACCTTGCCAGTGACCTAATTTAATTTACATAATTATCAAACAAGCAAAAATCCAACTTGTATTACTAACAAATTCTATACATTGATTTCCAATCTATGTACATAAAGTAGTCTATATGTTTACAATTAATATTGGTAACATAGGATAATTACAACAGAATAATTTGTTATAATGTGAATACTTGAGCACTGTGCTGAACACAAGAGTGCGTAAACACAATTGAATTGAATTTTCAAATTTTAATTACCAGGCACTGAGGCACATGGAATGCTGTGCTTAACAACAGTAGCCAGGATAATTAGTGTCAATTTTTTTGGGACACCCTGTACAGTATTATATTAATATTACAAATGACATAAATCAAAATTGAGAATATAAAACAAATAAACAACTCAGGGAATTGCTGTACTTTCATTCCCTTGCATGCTTTTCAACAGTGTATTGTTTCGCTCACTGTGTCTCCAAACTGCCAACCAGAATGGCTGGGTATGGCTAAAAGGAGAGGTACCAACCCGAGAGTTATCTCGGAGAGTTATGATTTCGGAGAGTTATGATCAAACTACGCCCAGTTTGACGTTAACATTATGAAGATGTTAGAGAGTTATCATTTTTTATACCTCTCCGCGTTCACGATTATGGCAATGAATAGAGTTAAGTCATTTTTGGAAACCATAGTAAAGCTTGTTTCTTCAGGTTTTCATCTTATATTTTGGCATGGGCGTACGGGAAGGAAAAAATTAGGGGGGGGGGCGGAAAGAAATATGTCCGACTTTTTCGGATTGTGCCCGCGGTGTCAAAAAAGAAATTTCCGGAGAAACTTTCCAAAATTGTTGTCGACGGGGGAGGGGGGGGAGGGAGTGATTACGAAAAATTCCTATCAGATAGCATATTTCACACAAAATTGACAGAATTTCACACAAAATTGACAGAATTTGTCCCATTTATTTTTATAATATTGCCCGACTGTGAAGCGAATATTGCCCGACTGGCTTTGTTTGCCCAACAAACTGGGGCGGGGGGCTGCCCCCCCCCCCCTCCGCCCGGTACGCCCATGTATTTTGGCATTTAAGTTTGTAGCGTGGCTATAGCGTGCGTCCAAACAGGAAATACAACTTGACGCGGTCAAAACAATGAGATGCTTGCATCAGAAGGGTCAAAGTACCTCCAGAAGCATGCTTTGACGTGTATTTGGCAGTAAATACGGTAAGCATAGTTGCAAGCAAGTTAAGAAAATTGAATCTTTCAGGAATTCAGGTTTTGGAAATACTTTCCCAGATCAGCCAATAGGGCATTATATTGGAAAGGTTTTCTGGTTCTATATCATACGAGAGCTGTATCTGAATGCTGGTCTTGCTAGATAATCCAAGTGAGCATGTATATTTACATTTACATATAGATGAACTTGGTAAGTTCTAAAGTACTATTAGTTTCTACTAGCGTGAAATGTTAAAGCTGACACTTGAGAAAAAAGTAAATTTACAAAAATGACATAACTCTCGAGCTCTTCATTGCCACAATCATGAACGCGGAGAGTTATAAAAAATGATAACTCTCTAACATCCTCGTAATGTTAACGAGAGAGAGAGTTACGTCAAACATAACTCTCTCATGTTAGTTCAAGGAAACGTCGAGAAAGTTAAGAAATTGGGTGTGCTCGTTGGGTAAAGTGGGCGTGGTTTGGGGGGTGGTTTGGGCGTGGTTCGACCATAACTCTCCGAAATCATAACTCTCCAAGATAACTCTCCACTCCATAACTCTCCGTTTAGCCGGTCCCATCTTGGCTTCTCTGCAACAAAGGAAAAAAAAGAAGGATCCTCCATGGAAGCAATCCTTATCCGTGAGATCCTGAGCAGAGCCAAGGACTGTCAAGAATACTATCCCTTCAACGATTCTTGTTAAAATTCGTGAGAATATTTGTAAAATCCTGGCAGGATTCTGGAAGGTTCAAGGAAAATTGTGGTATTCTGGAAGGAAAAGTTTCCCGAATTTCCTTGATTAATTTTTTAAGATATTTTGAAATCTTGAGAGGATCCTAGAAGGAAAATATTCCTGTACTTGGGATTTTTGAAATTCCTACCTCTGTCTGTCTGATTATTCTAAACCCTGAAATGAGGATTGTATAACAGACTTATTCCCATCCAACAAAATGTTGTACACTGAGGGAATGAAAAATATCAATCTGGAAATCAAAGCCAAAATTCGTTTCCTGAAATATGAAATATTGCATAATAGTAACGGCTTATTGACCGAACGTGAGGTCTGTACTGTGAAATATCAGACCGAGGTTTTTAGTATGGACCGAGCGACGAAGGAGCGAGGTCCATGCAAAAAACAGAGGTCTGATATTTCACAGTACAGACCGAACAAGCGAGGTCAATAATCGGTTTATTATATGGCTGAACTGAGTCTGTGAGCATATGCTTTTCGCGCGAATTAAATTGGCTATCGTCAGTTTCACTGGGTAACAATATACGGTAGGCATGCATGCTCAATCAAAAACAATTTGGTTGTTTGAAATTTTTATCTGTAAATTTCACCAAATTGACACCAATCCAAGTACGGAAAACACGGACCACGGTCCGGATATGGATTTTACGGACCGTTTGTCAACCAATCAGAATAGAGAATTTTGAAAAGCCATATAATAATACAGTATATAATTCATGAAAATTCGAATAATTATTTTCAAGCCAAATCGCAAAGTCAATAGTTATAACCAAAACTCAGGTTAGATTTGAATTTTACCTCATTTGTGACTGAAATTGAATTCATTATGTGCGTGTGTTTTCACTTTTAAATAATACAGGTGTGTAGATATTTTGAAGAGGGAACATGTTACTATGGAGATAAGTGTTGGTTCAGACATCCAGAAGAATTTAACATATCGAGGTAATATGCAGAACATTCCTTGTACTACTATCCCGAAATAACACCATATAGATTGGAGTTAAACTGTAGGATGGAGAATTAGAATCGGTGTTAGAAATGAGGCTACTTAGGATCAGCGTTGTGTTAGGTGTGACAGTGTATTTAGGATTACTACTGTGATGACGGTTAGGATTGGGTTAAATATTGGGATTAAGACTGTACAGTATTTAAATAGGGTTCGTACAAAACTTGAATTTGAAAAATGAAATTATTAATAAATTGGAATGCTTTGAAAGTCCTTGAATTCTTTCCCACTTTAGTTTTTGGATATTTTCTGAAATTTGACATTAAAATACGGGAATTTTGTTAAATTGACTTTTGTCTTACAAAGTTGTTTGAAATTCATCGAAGTTGCAATTTAAGCTGTTCAACGTCACTTTACTGATTTCTAACGCCTTCTTTTTGGGCGTTGGTCCTTGGATGTCCTGATATGGGATCATGGTCTTTCAAAAGTGCTTGAATTTTACTCTTCCGGACATGTATACAGTACGAACCATTAGAGTCCGGAAAACTGTAAGTCTCGAATAATCGCACTCCTGTCTAGATTCTTTAATCAGTAAATCAGTTTTAATCTGTAATGCAAATGGATAGTAATCAGCAACATTCTTTTATTTTAGCCGCTTTGATGATTACCTTGTTCCTTCAGAAAGCTTTTTCTCACTTGGAAATGTTTTCAGCACCTGTATGTGTATTTGTTACACGGGAGAAACATTAACGTATTAACTATGGTAGTTATGTAACATACGGCCCTAATACGACTTTTAACTGAATACTAATTTATACGTTAAGTTTACACAAGAGTAAATATTCATCTGCAGTAATAGACACAGTCATACACGTTTTTCTGACATATTACAAATTAGATAGTGCAGACCTATTTTACATCCAAGCATGGGCGGATTTTGAGGGGAGGGGCGGGCAGGGGGGAGGGGTTGGGTTGTGGGAGGTGCGCACCTTTCCTGAGGTCGTTTTGCACCTCCCCTGATACATTTTGCAGCTCCCTCAAAAATCCATGCATCCCCTTACTTTGGTGTCTCTAGCTAAATTTGGATGTGGTATTTAGGTTTTGTAACAGAGTTTTTGTTCAATTCGAAAAGTGACAGCCATTTATCCTTGTGTCAATTGTCCTTTTAAATATTGTGGTGGTGCAACTAGGGGCGAAATTTGAAGAGTAATACAATCATAATTCATAAATACATAAATATACAGTATATGTAGAGTACTGTAAATGTATACTGTACGTCATGTACAAGTTGTAGTTGACTTTTGGGAGCTACGTTCTAATCCCTAACATTCCAGAGTGCTGTAGGCTAGATCGTTGAACCTCCCCTAAAGTTTTTCCACCACCCAACATTTCCACCTTGCATCTACTGTACGTAAGCGTATTCGTTGCACTGTGCAGATGAATTAAATAAATTGTGCAATAAATATATATTAATAACGTTTTTCGTAACTTTATTCGTTTAGGTGCGGAACCTCCACCATTAAGCAATATCAATTTATTGATGGCGGCTGCTATCTCATCTGCTTGGTCAGACGCGAACAACAATGAAACTGAATGTGAAACGCCTAAGGCTCCAATTTCGATAGAGAAGGCCATGGAAATGTGGAAAATTATTACGGATGGAGGTATATAAACTAATAATGTAGTAGCTCTATCGGTTCTTATATGTAAACTGTTCTCCTTGGCATGTGTCCCGATACATGTAATGTGGCAGTTTCACGTCCCGTTTTGCAGTTGAATGCATATACGAAAATAGAATCCATTTTTACTATCTATAAGGACAACAAAGCTGTCGTATTAGATGTTCACTAACGCCCACCCATATAGTCCGTTTTTTTTTCTTCCGGGGGAAATCCCAATGTTACAGTGATATGTGTACCCCGTGTTTGTGTCTCCCCATACTCACATTACTATAAGAAACGGTTAGGATTGTTGCTCGGGATACCAATATCTCTATTATGATAGTGATATGTGTAGACCTAGTGATATGAGTAGGGTGATACACAAACACGAGGATACAGATACTGTATCACAGTGATAGCCGGGAGAAAACTTTTTAAAATTTCGTCAGGTATTGTATAGATCTTTTAGCGCCGTCCAAGTTGTCACAGTAGCACTGTTTTCTATTGAATACTTATCGTGCAAAAACATAATGTACAGTACAATTTTGTTGTGTGAGCACTCTAACTTAATTCACATTACGTTCGGATATACGTTTGAAATGAAATCTTAACCTTTTTAAAGGGTGACGAAGATGATGAAATTACATTTCTTTTTACCGTCTATGTAGAAGACCCAGAAAAAAGTCAAGATTCAAACAAGTCAGTGGATGATAGTTGTGAATCTGCGTTGGATGATATCAGCTTGTACTTCAGTAAACTTGGTAAATTCGACATCAAAAACTGGCCATGCTCTGATGTTATAGACCTACTGTGCTTAGTAGCAGATTTTGACGATGTTGAATTCACAAGCCACGACTTGAGCAATGATCTGTTTGTGGGCAACGTTCTCTTCGAGCTAATGCGTATATGGAAACCGTCGAGCAGTACTACTTCAGAATTCTTCAACACGTTATGCGAATTAAAACAAATAGACATGACACAGTTGATTATTTGCTTGGTTAGTTGTCCTTGCAGACTTGACGATTTCGATTGTTTCTTGGGTGAGGTTCTATACCATTTGCAGCAGAAGAACCCCAACACATGGAATGGCGAATGGGTAGCGGATCTTCTTGACAAGTTTGAAGGCAATTTGGAATGTTGTGATGTAGACGCTGTTGATGTTTTATCCAGTTTTGGAAGTCTCTCAAAGAATCCAGGTGAACTGGGAAAGATGGCGCATGCGTATCTTGTGAAGACCGGCCTTCAGAATAGCTTTGAATGTCGTTGCAAAACAGCGGATTGTCTTTGTCCCATTGAAGTAGACGAAGGTGTTGCGTTCATCTTGTTTGATGGCTTGACAAGAAGACTGAAATGGACAAATAATGAAAAAAAGGATTTTTTTTGCAAGGCTGTAGACAAATTGTTTTTGCCAGGCGTGCTCTTTCAACTAGGTAGGTGTTTATTGATTTAAGTTTTGTTGCATTTACTTGGCTGCAGGGGTTGATCAACAACAGAGTAACGCATACCAATGATCACACAGGAAAATAAACATACAGAAACACTTGGAAGTTGTGCGAAAAGATTTTTAATATGTACAGTGGGTTACAAATTCAAGTTATAAATTTAAAGTGGTTATTGTATTTCACATTTTTATACAGTACATCCCTGTACAACGAACCTCAATCTGAACTGCATCTATGAGATGTGTTCACCCGTCTGCTCACTCCCACCCCCTACTTATGTCCGTCTGTGATCACAATCGTGACAAATTTGGGAAGTTAACAGAAAAGATACAAACCGGTTGTTGTCGGTAAACTGCATACTGTAGATTAACCCATAGTTAATACAGCCTCACGAACTTTAAAGCTTTTGATTTCAGTTCTAACACTGCTCTAACTGATGTTGCGAGCCTGGGACGGATCTGAAGAACCTCCTCCACTTGAGGCAGAGGTCGTCCATTGTACGTAAAGTACAAAATGTTCAGTGATCGCAAAAGTGCAGAATTTCCAATCAACGTGAATTAAACAATAGAGCAAAGACTTTTTCCGACTTTCCAAACCATGTTTATTTTCTATAGTAAACTATGGATGATGAAATGGCATGTTGTGAATCACCTTTTCTACATTTGAGTGACACGTAAAATTCTCGTTGTAAAGTCTGGAATATCATCTTGTAACAAGGTTGATGAAGCTAACTGACTTGCAACAAGTTGTTCCAACCTGTCTGATATCATCTGCTCATAACAAGTTGCTAACAAGTTTTTACAACAAGCTCGTCGCAATTTGTTGCGAATAGCCAGTATTAGTCTTGTTGAAACAACTTGTAGTAAGTCTGTTACCGTCGTCAACCTTGTAAGAAGGTCATAACTTGTTTCAGGCTTGTCACCTTTTTTCGGCTTGACACTGACAACCTTGTTACAATATGTACGCAGATATGTAACAACTTACGAATTTTTTCGTGTGTTCATTTGACCTAGGTGAAAGTATGGGCCTGAAAAACATCGCCAATGAATCCAACTGCCGAGAAGAGCCAATCATAAACAAAGCGAACGGTTTACCACAGTCGAAATGTCCAAGTGCAGATTGCAGTAACAACGCTAAGCGAGACTGCGTGAACGGACTATGTGGTCGTTGCTGCAAACGTAGTGGCTTATGGTGTGATGTTCACGTGAACCTGTTTCCCACTCGGTACCAGACCGTCCGCGCACATGACTTGGTGAAACCACGCGTGAACCTGGCTACGAAGGGAGATCTGGATTGTTTCCTGGAAACGAAGGAAGATGCTCGAGCTGTTTGCTTTGGTCGTGATTTCTCAGTCAATGATGATGACGTCATTAAGGTACTTGACCTATGCAAGAATATTATGCTGCTGGAACTAGGTATGTGTTATACTATACACTTATTATAAACGGATAACGATGATTGAATAATTATTGCCTTGGTAAACAAGAACATTGTCGCAGATTGCGATACAATTGAATGTTACCCCGTTTGCCATCCCACATGGGAAAACATGGGAGATATTGTTGTGGAAATAAAATGTTTCCGTGGAAATTCCTAAAAATATGTCCTAAGAAATTCAGAAACATGACACGTTTCCATAACATGTTTCGTGATTTTCCCTTCTTCAGGAAACATGACTAGGAAAGAATGATTTCGTAACAATGTTTCCTATTACTGTATTCCATGTGCTTACACTGTGTCGTGTCCCTGCCGACGAAGTTTCAACCAGACGGATTTTCCAAAAGAGAACAAGTGCTCGATTTTTGAATGCAATATATTTCAATAGATACTGGTCGATGAAACACTATAAAAATATTACAACACAGCTGTATTATTACAATACAGCTGTATTATTCATCTCATCCCCTTTCATTCACTGTATTTCTTAAAAGTTCTCCACACAAATGTTTGACGAAAAAGCAATATTTTTTGTTAGTATCAGCATTATTCTGTGTTAAATGATGCGGTATGCATGATTAATTTATATGATTGACATTTAGTCATCACACCTTCAAACTCAGAGGTGTAATGCATTTATACCGCCTGAATACAGGAATGCCTGGAACATTCCAATCGATCAGACGTTCAAACACTTGCAAATACTTTGATGCACAAAAGATTTTCTGTTTAACATAGAAAGAATTTTCCGTATGATTGGGCTAGCCGTACAAATACTGAATGCGTACCAGGGGCGTAGCTGGAGGGGGGATGTGGGGGTGTAACACCCCCCCCCCCCCCATTCATCACAGATTCGGCAAATGTCTGCTAAACTCGAAAAATTGTTTTCGGATTTATCGGGAAATTGTTTTCGTGGTGAGCGAAATATTTAAATGGCTCGGAATAAAAAGTAATAGTTACAGTATATAACAAATGTTATTAAATTTACGAAAAATTACGGGAAAAGGTAACAAATAACGACATGTCCGGAAAAATTTTTGTATTTTAGGAAAAATTACGATATGTCCCGAAAAATATTTGTATGTCCGGAAAAAATTTTGCGACCTCCCCCACCCCCCGCTCGCCAACAATTTTTGGGGAAAATATTAATTAGCGACTGAAATGATGTCGGCAAATGAGATACTACATCCCCCCCTTCTTCCTCTCTTAGCTATGCCCCTGATGCGAACTTTATGAAACAACTGTATATCATCTATGTTATTGCTGACATGGAGTCATGGATGACATATGTTACTGATATGAACGATCGAAAGACAAGGAATTGTTTTTAGATTCAACCATTATGTGTATGTGTATCAACCATATGGGAGAGGGTGTACAACGTCCTTCTGTACGTAAAAGAATATTATTCAAACGTCGCGGCGCTACGTAAACCGTACCGATCCGAAACTTTCTCGCAGGGTTGGCCTTAAACCTTAATCTTTAAATTAAATTACTGTAGCTGGCGTTCTACTGATAATGTTGAGTACAGTAAAAGATTGATAGAATTTTTAGACTAGATTTTTAAGTCTAAATCTATTGTTGGCTGTGTGAACGATATTAGTGAAGCAATATGTAACAGAGCTGGCTGAACATGTATTCATTTACCATAATTATAGCAAAGCCCGTTCGATTATTGCAATATATTGATCTATAGGTTCATCTGATACTGGAAAACCCGGTAGGCTTGTTACGGACGCCTTACTTCATTACATCGCTCAAAATCGTCCTAAACTTCGCAAACTCCGATTGGAATCAGCCACCTCGATCGCCGATGATAGCGTCATACAACTACTAAAACACTGCCACGATTTAGAGTTCTTGGAAGTATCTGGTAATGACAAAATCAGTGGTGAGTTGACCGACCGCACTCTTAAAGAATTCTTTGATGTTAATGTTGCACCAAACCTTAAAACACTAAGAGTTACAGACCAACGTGGAATAAGTTACGATATCGTTATGCGATTACGACGCTGCAGACCAAATCTTGAAATAACTGCTGGCGATACGGACAGTGATAGCATGGCGTGGTCACTAATTCTAGGAATGACTGGTGGATGGTATGGAGACGGATTATATTGAGTGCGCATGCGCGTTTAGGTTGTGTCAATATCACTTGTGAATAATCCATTCACAACTTGTGTTAAATATTGTTGAAATTATTTTAGTATGACTAAATATTCTTTGCGTAGCAAAAACTGAATATTATGAGTGCTGATTAGAATTGAACAGTTATAATTTGTGTGCACCGACATTCTATAATTTGAGAAAAGCACCAAAAATAAAATTCCATTTTCAATAAGCAATTAAATATGAATATGTTTACAAATGTAAATACAATAATTCAAAAATACAAACTTATCCTTGTAATATATTTCCTATAGAAGATAAAAAATGTTTAAATTATCTAATGTTAAAATATGTTGATATGCTAACTGAAATTTGTTATTGTGAATTTGATATGAATTAAAAATATACATTTTGCGTCTATATGTGGATTATTTTAAGTTGTATGAAAGGACATTTAGAACATGGACTTAATTGTTGTACGGCTTATGCTTGTATATATATATACATAATACATTTGGTCAAGTGCATGAAAATGCAACCAAAGTAGGCCTAACATCTCAACAGGTAACAGGAAATGCTACTGAAACACTTTTTAGTGGGTTCTTATGTTGTTAGAATCATTTACTTAAGAAGTTGTATTCATGAAATATACATGTAGTTGCTTTATGACGGTTTTCTCTCTACGTCGCTGTATATGTCTGTTCCCTCGGGAAATAGTTTGTTTGTTGTTTTCGCTAGAGTCTCCATGTTTCCCTCGAGTGTCATTGTTTCCCTCGAGTCTCGCTATTGAAACTCTGGGGAAAACAAAACTATTTCCGGCGGAAGCATTCATGCAGACTGTATAAATTATAGTTTATTATATAGTGTCTTCAACAGTAAAATGAATAATTCAATTTTGCCTTCGTCTTGTACCTTAAGGCTGGTAAGTACATTGCTGTACGTCGGCGGCGTTCAAATGTTTTGTGGGCTCCTCCCAAACTTTTTCTTCCACTTTCCTATTAAACTTCTATATTGTTAAAAACATGAAATTTCGGGTTCATTTATAGAAAAAATAACTTGAAGCATTAGAAAACCTATAAGAAAACTACATAAGACATTTAAACGGTTACCACGATTTTCAGTTCAAGTTCTTGAGTTATGAGCTTTTGAAAACGTGTTTTCAGACCAGTTTTTTGGCCTATTCACATTTTGGAACAGCAATTACTCGAACACCGCTATTACGCGAGTTTCATTAAGAGGTCACGTGATCTCAATCCGCGCGAGGCCAGGTATGGAAGTTCTAACTAGTATAACATGGTTGCAAGGTGATACTTTAAGTAAAATTTTAGAGTTTCGAAAGCAGTCACTTTTGGAAACAGCCGGTCACGTGCCGTGATTAAGCTAAAATTTTGGTTCCTTCTAAAAATGTTATTCAAGGCAATTTTTTCACTCGAAAAGCATGCCAGAAGACAGTTTGGTATCTTGTCTGCCGAACTGCTTTATTCACGATAAATATACATCATTACCAAATTATTAGTATACTATTTTAAGCAGATCAAGGTTATGTGACATCTACACACTTCAGTAGTTCAAGTTTCCTATAAACCCCAATTTTTAGAACGAGGATCGGGGAATAGGGTGTAAGTGAGTAATCCGCGAGGAATATTCATATATTGCTCTATTAACTTTAATAATAATAATAATAATGAATAATTTAAGGTTACAGAACACCTTTGAGTGTTAATTTGCCTAAAATTTTTTTATTGGTTTCCATGAAAGCATTAGACTAGTTCTACTATCTGACCAAGTTTGAACGAAAAATGTTGAAAACTCGCCGAGTTATTTAATAAAATACGTTTCGCTGCAATAAGAAAAACATTGAAAATGTAATATTCAAATTCAATTTTCTCCCAAAAACGTTTACGGTAATTACTGATTTTCAAACGAGTTGTGCTCCTGCGGGTTTTAACCAATTTTTCTCAAATTTTCACAGGACATAGCTAAAGACGTCAGTTTCAAAATTGTGTTCGGCTTTTTTTTAATTTTGGATATTTTAAAAATAAAGAGCAATTCACTCAAACAATTCAGAAATATATTGCAGTCGTCAAAGAAATCGCCATATCAGCGGAATGACGAAATAAACAAAAATTTCCGAACACAATTTTTTAGAACAACTATTTTACTGTATAAAAATGATATTTTCATAAATATAACTTAAAACCAGCAGGAGCATAACTCAAAAGCGTAATGGTACCGCGATTTAAGATTTTCCTGAATAATTCTTACATTATTTTATTGTTTGTTAATTTTACAACATTACCATATTTTGCATGCACTGGAGAACATTTGGTGAAAATTTGATGAAAATCGGACTGATATTGAGCGCGCAGTAGCGATTTTCCGCAAAACGCCCAAAAGGGTGTCCTGTAACCTTAATAAAACTTGGACTTTATTTCGCCAATATTTATAAATCTGCGAAGTTTTCCCATACAAATGAAGGGCTCTCTGACGTCTCTTGATTAACAATTTTAGCGATTGGGTTACCCCATGCTTTATTTGATTTTCTTGTTCTCAACTGCCGCTTACGAAACTGAAAACTTCGACAGTGAAACTCATGGAACAATTTCAATTATGCTGGAAAAAGTTAATTAAATTACGAACAACTGTGTGTTTAAATGATTTAAACATTGATTGATAAGTGAAAATCTGTAGCTAAAATGAAATGTTATATATTCGATGACTGGTTTATTGATATACAATGACCCAGGGTAATAGCAGAATAAAGCATTTAAATTAATTGAATTACTATATTATTGTTATAGTATAACAATGCATGACCTTTTGCACACATCATAAATATCCAAATCGGTATCAGACATGTATCTTTATTTGCGTGAATGGCATTTAACCACCCCTTGCGTACGCACGTCGCGTGCTGAAAAGTGCACACCTGGAAAAGATAATTCTCTGCTTGGTACCGTTTTTTACAGTATTTTTGCATGCTGTTATATTTTCAGCTGCGCAAATTTGCAGTTCATGTGTTAGATGGTATGGCACAAAAGGATTCAAGATTGAAGGAATAATAAACCCATCAAATATTGAATGAATAATTATAAATAGAATTTCATATCTGCATGGAGACAAAGTCATAGAATAAAGATCCATATAGAAGGGCCACTTTCGTCGGAAGCTTTGAAGTTTCTGTCCTCGCGCATGTCGCATTACGCATGTTGGCCACCATTTTCCTTGGCAGTCAATGACATTTTCTGTCCAATAAACACGCTGTACTGGCTGGCTGCTCCGAAAGGCTTCCGATGTTTTTACTCTTGTGCAATCGAGTGAGATCGATCATATAAATTGATTATCGCGTATCATGTCTATTACGACTATTACAAAATAGATCGAAATAAACAAAGCAAAATCACAGTTCACGAAACAGACACTTTAATTCTCATTTCACGGAGCATTTTTATCGATAATCACGCGTCACGGCTGTAGAACAAATCACATTTCACGACACTAAAATCAAGCATTTCATGCGAACAAATATTGACCATTCACGGCTCACGAAAATACCCTTTCCCACCCTCCTGAGTGGCTCTTCTGCATGTTACTGATCTTTATTCTGTGCCAAAGTACAATTTTCGTCTTCGTACATGCAATTATCGTTATAGGAATATTGTGAATAATGAGGTCGTGTTTCAACAGAAATATTTTTGTTTTGCGAAATAATAATTATTTTAAATACACGAATAAAAACAAGAAAAGACAACATGAGCGAACGGCGTTTCTGTGAATGTTGTGTAATTTTTATCGGAACTTTATAGTAGGTATTAAATGCATGAATTTTTTAATATTTTATGCTGTTATAATATTGTGACATTTTTAAGCGTTATCGCTGCTTTTTTGAAGTTGTTTTGTGCGATAAATCATTGTTTGTCGAAAGAGCTATTTAATGAAAATGCAATGTATAATTAACTGTTATTGAATTCTTTTTATTTGTGATATCCCGCGAATATCCATTTCTCGCGGATAACACTTGTACCTCGACCTTTATAATATCACCTGCATGGGTAGTTAATTTAAAAAGAATGGATAGGAAACAGCTGACGCGAGCAGACGTGCCTATTTGAAATTCGTGATGCCACAAATACAACAATATATTACAGCAAAGTTTATTTAAAATGTAGTATATGATTTTACAGCGCCCTGGTGGAATTTCCTATCCAGAATTTTGATGATCCATGATTTCACAAAAACCTCATCCAATAACTGTTTATAATTAATAGCATGTAGATAAATATATGTCTCTGCTTGGTACCGTTTTCAACGTGATGTTTCTATTTTAAGCTGCAGTATTGAGCATCCATGCATGTGTCATTATCACCCATATCCACACAAAATATAATTAGAATCCATAAGAACTTGATAATGTCAGTTCAAACCTTGAAGTGTGTGAGTGTGCGAACTCTGGTTTTAAAAATAAATGAATACAAAACCTATATAGTATAGTATAGTATAGTATAGTATAGTATAGTGAACGTAATTCGAACTGAAACATGCACGAAAGTGAGCGAAAACACGACTGCATGTATGATGAAAAAACCTATATGTTTGCATGATTCATAAATCAGTATATCAGCCCACATGCAGTTTCAAAATATATACGACTTGCATGCAAGCGAATAAACATCTGGAGAAATCCATGAAGAAGACTATATATGGACAAGATCAGTTTTATGATATTTCGATTTTATTTCAACATCATCGTCTTCGGTGAAGATATGTCATATGGGAAGCCTGGCAAACTTCAAAGCTACGAAATGTAGAAGACCTTTTTTTCATGTTCAATTATACAGGGTGTATAAAAAAAGGAGACCTTTAGAAATCAAGCATATTGTTAAAATTTGAATGCCTTTTCAATTGCACATATGCTGAACCGTAGTGCGTGAAATATTGATGGGTGCATATATTAGAAAAAGGAGACCTTTAGAAATTGAAATAACGTTTAAACAAAAGATTGTCTGCTCCTGGGAATAATCTGCCATGTACTGTATACTGTACGTAGATAGCATGTTACACACTCGTGGGCTTAGCAAAGTGCTCCAGGATTCAAATTATAACAATATGGTTGATTTCTAAAGGTCTCCTTTTTCTAATATATGCACTCCATCAATATTTCACGCACCACGGTTCAGCATATGTGCAATTGAAAAGGCATTCAAATTTTAACAATATGCTTGATTTCTAAAGGTCTCCTTTTTTTATACACCCTGTATAATTGAACATGAAAAAAAGGTCTTCTACATTTCGTAGCTTTGAAGTTTGCCAGGCTTCCCATATGACATATCTTCACCGAAGACGATCGATGATGTTGAAATAAAATCGAAATATCATAAAACTGATCTTGTCCATATATAGTCTTCTTCATGGATTTCTCCAGATGTTTATTCGCTTGCATGCAAGTCGTATATATTTTGAAACTGCATGTGGGCTGATATACTGATTTATGAATCATGCAAACATATAGGTTTTTTCATCATACATGCAGTCGTGTTTTCGCTCACTTTCGTGCATGTTTAAGTTCGAATTACGTTCTATACTATACTATACTATACTATACTATATAGGTTTTGTATTCATTTATTTTTAAAACCAGAGTTGGCACACTCACACACTTCAAGGTTTGAACTGACATTATCAAGTTCTTATGGATTCTAATTATATTTTGTGTGGATGGGTGATAATGACACATGCATGGATGCTCAATACTGCACATATTGCACAATTGCACATATGCTGAACCGTGGTGCGTGAAATATTGATGGAGTGCATATATTAGAAAAAGAAGACCTTTAGAAATCAACCATATTGTTATAATTTGAATCCTGGAGCACTTTGCTAAGCCCACGAGTGTGTAACATGCTATCTACGTACAGTATACAGTACATGGCAGATTATTCCCAGGAGCAGACAATCTTTTGTTTAAACGTTATTTCAATTTCTAAAGGTCTCCTTTTTCTAATATATGCACCCATCAATATTTCACGCACTACGGTTCAGCATATGTGCAATTGAAAAGGCATTCAAATTTTAACAATATGCTTGATTTCTAAAGGTCTCCTTTTTTTATACACCCTGTATAACCATGCACAAATCCTTTGTCTCAACTTCATTAAATATTATTCATCGTGGTTGTACGTTTCAGCTACCGTATTGGACGATTACTTCATTATACGAAAACACAATGAGCTCAATCACCGTGACCGTGGACAAATGGCATTAAAACTCAGACAAAAACAATACACAATGAATTCGCGGCGTTAGTTACCAGACTATATCACATCTTGATAGAGTATGACATAATCAGAGGGAGATAATCAGAGCGGTGCATGTGTACTGAGATGACCTACTGAGAATCTAATAGCACCCCATGCTTGTATTGTTACACCCATATAAAAGTGCAGATGCTGATTATAGACTATCGTTATAAAATAAACACTCATTTGTCGTTGAGTGATAATTGAATTGCATCCCGCAAGATATGGGAAACTAATTCAATTTAACTAATATTGCACCTGCAGCTTAAATATTTGTAGCTGCGTGGTCGAATCTGATAAAAACGTTTCCAGATATTTTGAAAAAAATGTTGACAGAGCATCCCAAAATAATTGCCCCCACTATAGTTGAGGCATACTGCCGCCACGGTAATTTCCATATAATATTTTTTTGCGGAAAATAAATTGTATTTATTTATTAAGTAATCACGGCTTCAAAATAACCAAGCTTTGCTTGCTAAAGTCAGGTGATCTAGGGACAGCAATATTCCACCTTCCCTCGCAAAATATGCGAATTGGGTCTTGAAATTTTTAATTAAGCTAATTAATAAAAAAAAATAATTAGTTACGGTATGCAATTTTTATATCGTTTAAAAGGTTTTTATCAGTCAATTGAAAAGTGCACATTTTATACGTGCCTTAAATCATGAATTTTGAGTTGATTTTTCCACACTTGATGCTGCAGTTTTCCTTTTCACTATTCAAGTGAAGGTTTTATTTTTTGCCCATAGGTTTCGGCCATATTTTTAGTAATTTTCATATTTAATTAATGAAAGCTAGATTTTGGAAGCTAGTAAAACGACCATTTTAGTGTGGATTTGTTTATTATTTAATGACCTTTTAGTAAAGTTAGTAAAATACTTTTGACCTATAGATTTCCATAATTTGGACAATTCGGAATTAACATTCGTATGATCCGTAGGTTTTCAGTATAGGTATAACTATTTCTGAATTATAAATAAAAAAATTTGTTCGTTCATTAAATTTAATGTTGTTATTATTTCAATAACGTTTGGAATTGAATGTCAACTTACTTCCAAGATTGATCAGACTATATATTAGTATACAAACCGAGTAATCCAAAGGAAAAGCAGGTTTTGTTTGTGTTACTCTGAGTGCATATCCAGGCAGGCTGAAAAGTTAGCCTGACCACGGTGGGAATCGAACCCGCGACCTTTTCAGAGTCGAACCTTTTCAGCCTGCCCAGTGTGGATATGCACTCAGAGTAACATCAAAAACATTACTCCTGGTTAGTTCTAATTCCATCTACAATTACTCTATTAGTGCTATCGAACGTCAGTTGGTTAGAGCGCTGCCCCGGAATAGAGTGAATAGCATGGCGGCATGACCGCAGGTTCAATTCCCACTAGAGGCCTGCATGGTTAGGTCTAAAAATCAATGTACCGGGTGTCCCAAAAAAAAGTACTCCGGTTTGATTCATAATAACTTCTAAACAAGTACAGTTATCAAACAGAAATAAATTGCACTAAATAGAGGAAGGGCTAACTTAGATTTTGATATATTACAGTTGTATTTTACTTAAAAATTCACGGAGATATTAATGTTCAAAATTGGGAGCATATTTTGGGATGTGTCTAAAATTAGCGAAAATCGGCATATCAAATATTTACTCCAGCGTTTGTTTGCTTAATGACATATCAGGCTAACTTGTATTTCAGCGAATTGTCGTTAGGGTTTGTAAGGGATATGGCGTAGATTTAGACATCTTACATGTAAGTCTTAGCTCATTGTTTCCTGAAATATGAACGTTCGAAATTATGCAAGTATTTAATAGGTCTTTACAAACTTAAGGCACATGAAAGACCATGCAAGGCAGACGCTTAAATTTTTCTTAAATAGCCTAATTTTTTTATGTTTTTCATGGGTTCAAAACAGAGTTGATTATTTCTCGGTTAGAGCAGGATGAAAATTATTCTTTAATGAGGAAATAACATTGCCTTTTGCAAATACACGTGCATCACAGTATCAACGCTACTATTTTGTTATACGTTTTGTTCCAAAAATGTTGGATGTCTCTGGGGAGTTGCTTGTTATGTCTTATGGAGTTGTATGGTTTGATTGTGTTTCATTCTCAGTTTATTCCGAACTTGCCAAGATTAAGAAAAGGCAAAAGAGTTTGGGTGTTCTTAACAAGATTTCAGAACGTTGCGGAAGTTAGAAGAGCTTCACAATTCTATTGTGCCAGCATGCCCTAATTCTGAACTACGAACGATCCATGACGATCCTTCGCTATGCAGTGGTCTCATGAAATAAGGAAACGTATTCGTGCTAGGAACACTTACTGGTAATAGTGCATGTTTCAGTCGGGCAAATCTTGATTAATATTTGATACGCCGTTTTTTGCATGTTTCAGACACATCGAGAAATATGCTCCCGATTTTAAACATTAATATCTCCGTGAATTTTAAGTGAAATACAACTGTAATATATCAAAATCTAAGTTAATCCTTCCTCTATTTGATGCAAGTTATTTCTCTTTAAAAGCTTTACTTGTTTAGAAGTTATTTCGAATCAAACCGGAGTACTTTTTTTTGGGACACCCGGTATATATATATATATATATATATATATATATATATATATATATATATATATATATATATATATATATATATATATATATATTAAGATGAAAATGTTCTAGAATGTGTATTATATAATTTCCATACCCAGCGCAAGCAGAAAGATGTTGTCTGCCGCGGCTGGGTCTCGAACCCGCGACCTTCGAATTACTAGATCGACGCTCTACCTACTGAGCTACACGGCCAGACGGATTTAAGACTGGAAATTATGAAATATATACTGAATGTCATAAACATACTCGTTTATATTAATTCAGCATCGAACAATACTAGTTCTGCAAGTGTTATGTTAGTTGTGTAATTGTACACTCTGTAATATGTTAAGATGAAAATGTTCTAGAGTGTGTATTATATAATTTCCATACCCAGCGCAAGCAGAAAGATGTTGTCTGCCGCGGCTGGGTCTCGAATCCGCGACCTTCGAATTACTAGATCGACGCTCTACCTACTAAGCTACACGGTCAGACGGATTTAAGACTGGAAATTATGAAATATTAGAGTGTACAATTACATAACTAACATATATATATATATATATATATATATATATATATATATATATATATATATATATATATATATATATATATATATATATATATATATAATAGCCTTTTAAAAACACGGGCGCTGATTGGTCAAAAGCTAAAAAAACTGTGTTTCTATAACTCGATAGAAACACGGGGAATTTTCACGCGGGTTGCGTGGACTGCGCGAGAGTTTAAAAGACAAAATACAAACAATATTTAATTAATATTGACAAAAAGTTGGAAAACGTCACTTCCAAATTCCACATGAATTCACACATGTGATTTCATGTGAAATCATGTGATAACATGTGAAATTATGTGATCTTATGTGAAATTTAACATGTGAAAAAATTTCACATGAAATCACATGTGAAATTTCACAAATGAAAGGATTTCACATGAAATCACATGTGACATTTCACATGTGAAAAGATTTCACATGAAATCACATGTGAAATGTCACGTGTGAAAAGATTTCACATGAAATCACATGTGACATTTCACATGTGAAATGATTTCACATGAAGTCACATGTGACATTTCACATGTGAAAGTATTTCACATGAAATTACATGTGACATTTCACATGTGAAACAATTTCACATGAAATCGCATGTGACATTTCACATGTGAAAAGATTTCACATGAAATCACAAGTGAAATTTCACATGTGAAAGAATTTCACATAAACGTTACAAACTGACAAAGTGAAATTTCACATGTACGTGAAAGGATTTCACATGAAATTACAAGTGAAATTTCACATGTGAAAAGATGACGATTTCACATGAATTACAAATTACAAAGTGAAATTTCACATGTACGTGAAAGGATTTCACATTAAATTACAAGTGAAATTTAACATGTGAAAAGATAAGGATTTCACATGAATTACAAATTACAAAGTGAAATTTCACATGTACGTGACAGGATTTCACATGAAATTACGACTGAAATTTCACATGTGAAAAGATGACGATTTCACATGAATTACAAATTACAAAGTGAAATTTCACATGTACGTGAAAGGATTTCACATTAAATTACAAGTCAAATTTCACATGTGAAAAGATAAGGATTTCACATGAATTACAAATTACAAAGTGAAATTTCACATGTATGTGACAGGATTTCACATGAAATTACGACTGAAATTTCACATGTGAAAAGATGACAATTTCACATGAATTACAATTACAAAGTGAAATTTCACATGTATGTACGTGAAAGGATTTCACATGAAATTTAGACTGAAATTTCACATGTGAAAGGATTTCTCATGAAATTACAAATTACATGTACAAGTGAAATTTCACATATGTGAAAAGATTTCACATGAAAAAATTACAAGTGAAATTTCACATGTGAAAAGATAAGGATTTCACATAACATTACAAATTACAAAGTGAAATTTCGCATGTACGTGAAAGGATTTCACAAGAAATTACGACTGAAATTTCACATGTGAAAGGTTTCACATGAAATTAAAAATTACAATGAAATTTCACATGTGAAAGGATTCACATGAAATTGAAATGGGGTTGGGGGGATTTGAGGGGCAAACTCATATTTTTTTTTTGGGGGGGGGACAAGATAGAATTGTTAAATAGGTAGTGCTATTTGCCCATGCCGTTGTCATAGGACTTCCCCCCTCAAGGAGATTCGCCCCCCTCCCCAACCATAGGAATATCGACCCCCTTTAGGATATTCGCCCCCATATATGCGATGTGGTTTATTCAAATTTCGTGATACGTTCATCTTATTAGTGCCTTACATGTTTGAGAATTTAACTCAGCAAAACTAAAGCTTTTTTGCCTTTTTTGAAACGTATATTGGAGTATTGGCAAGTTTTACCATTCAGAGACTTACAAAATAATATTGAAACTGTGAAAACAGTATTATACGCGCATTCACTAATGACTAATGAGTAATGAGAACTTATAAACCATACTTTTTTTTTTCTTTTTTTTTTGGGGGGAGGGGCAAAATGTGGAAGTGGGCAAAATATAATTGGGGTATCCCCTGTCCCCCCCCCCCACGCCACTGAATACAAGTGAAATTTCATATGTGAATAGATTTCACATGAAATTACAAGTGAAATTTCACATGACAAATGATTTTATATAAAGTAAAAAATTGAAATTTCACATGTGAAAGATTTCACATGAAGTAAAAAGTGAAATTTTATATGTGAAAGGAATTCACATAAAGTTACAAGCGAAATTTCATATGTGATTTAAAGGATTTCACATGGACGGTAAAAAGTGAAATTTCACATAAAATCGTGCACTGCAAAACATCAAATTCTAGTCTAGAATAATAGTCTTATTTTTTAGATTATTTTTTTTATCTTAAGTAACTATTTCTTACCTTAAGCAGTATTTCAAGAAAAAAAATCTCGTTTTGAGAACAAGGCATGAATTTGAACATTCGAAAAAAAATTTTCTTATTATAAGAACAACATTTTTCCAACCTAGAATAATATCCCTATAATCAGAAAAAAACTTGAAATGAAGTTTAATATTACTTTAAATCCTTTAATTAAAATCCCACGGATAGTAAAACTAGGGAGCGCTTTTTGGTGTATCTATTTTAGAAGAAAAGTGCCACGCGCGCAATGAGTTGTGGGATATCGCGTATCAAGTGTCGAGTGTGATTTGCAAATTTTTTATTTTTTCGTTTGGATACTGATTTCGCTCAAGAAAAACTATATTCCGCTCAAGAAAAGATATAAATAGTATTGGATAAGTGACTCTAAGTCTTGCTAAAGGCTTATTGATCTCAGGTATGTATCATTACTCTTTATATCATATAATTATAACGTCCATCGACCCAATTATTTCACATGTACTAGCCTGAACATGTGGCTGCTAAAATTTGAAATATTTGCGCGCGCGAGATTTTATATATTGAAATTATTTCATTTCAATGCCGCCAAATATTATAGGCTGTGGGCTGTTGGCCAAAATTATTTCGGTTCGTGACCCCCATGTGAGAAATACTTGGTTTGGGGTTTATTTGAAAGATATATAGGTACATCACTACCAAAAAAAGTTCCCAAGCAAAAAAGTTGCCCAATCCCGAGAAAATGGGTGATCAATGATTATCCTCTATTAAATTGTATTACAGCAAAAATATGAGAAATTCTGTATTCAATTACAATAAAAATGACTTGCATCATCGGAAAACGTACAAAAAACCGCATACAAGACTTTTAAACAGTTTTTTGATTTTTCGAATAATCTTTGAGTTATTGCTGTTTTAAATGTGAAAATTGGACCAAAATGTCGCAATAAGGACTGGGTACTAGGTCAAAAACGCGTTTTGACAGCGTATAACTCGAAAACAATTATAGATATAAAAAAACTGTTTAAATGTCTTATATGTAGGTTTTTGTAAGCTTTCTGATAATGCAAGTCATTTTTGTTGTAATTGAATACAAAATTTTACATTTTCTTGCTGTAATACAATTTAATAGAGGATAATCACTGATCACCCATTTTCTCGGTGTTGGGCAGGTTTTTTGCTTGGGAACTTTTTGTGGTAATTAAGCATCTATTGTTCTATGAATTGAACCACAGAAAATCTATTTCCCAGATGGGTGCCACGAAATTGCTTTTCTAGGCACTTTTTTGCACAACAGCCCACGGCCTACCAACAATTCAAATTTTGAATAAGCACATTATATAGTGTATTATTTGAAACAATATGTGAAATGTGATCATGAATGTAAATATGGGTTTGCTACAAAATGGCTTGCAAGCCTATTCATACCAAAACATAAGAATTATTTGAGAGTATTAATTAAATTATGTTCTTTTAATCACATCTCCCCTGGAATGCCTGGATTTCCAAGGTCTTTCAAGTCATTGAGTGCCAGCTCTCTCCCCTTGACAAGTAAAATCACCTAGGCATTAATTCTGCCTACTTCTAGGGTTACTGGCCGGGTTAGACAGAGTAAAATTAGTGGTGTTTTCACTACAACTAAACCTTGACCTAGCCTTGGCCAGGCCAAGGTATTTAAAATGTGGCACGTTTACAGCATTACACTATTCTTTTTAGACAGGCCCGCTTTGGCCTAGAATTTTGTTATTAATTTTGTGTATTTTTATGTGCTGTGATGTTGTCCGCTGGTTGTCTGCTAATCTCTCACTGTGGACACACATTGCCATAAAAATAAGGCCCCGGCCAGGGCCGAAAGTGTTTACATTTACACAAGCTTAGGCCAGGTCTGTTGTAGTGAGCCCAGATTTCCTGGCCTAGGTCAGGACTAGGGTGATGCGGTTATTCGGTTAGCCGAGACGGTTATTTTTACAGATCGGTTTCACAAGTCTTCTAAATATCAGGTAACCAACTAACCGAAAAACGAATTCAAAATATAAAATTCAAAATAAAAAGACAAACAAGCGGGCTACATGTGATCAACATAAAACTATAAGCAAGCTACGTTATACTCTTTGGTGATTACGCAATTTAAATCGATGTTAGAAGCCTAGAAAAGCGCTGCGACTCAAATGGCGGATTAAAAGCGAATCAAAACAAGCTTAAAGCTTCCGATTTGATTAGCTAAGAGAAAGGCGGATGTCTGCGAAGACGTCACATGGATAACACACAAGACATGTTGTTTATTTTTGTCAAAATAATTTCATTGATTAAAAGAGTTGGTTATTTCGGTTATTTTGTGACGATTCTCGGTTTCGGTTATTTTACGAAACCGCATCACCCTAGTCAGGACAAGGCTAGGCCATTTCCACAAGCCTAGGCTTAGGCCAAGTCGGTTGTACAGTAGACTTGTAGTGAGCCCAGATTTCCTGGCCTAGGTCAGGACAAGGCTAGGCCAAAGTCTGTTTACACTGTCAAAATGTTGGCCAAGGCTAGGCCAAGGCTGGTAGTGTAAACAAGACTATTGAATGCATCAAGGCACATTACGACTAAATGGTTAGTGTTTCCCACAATATGGTAAAAAGTATAAACTTTTACTAGCTTGAGCTTGAAGGATCTTCCAAGCTAAACCCTTCTAGAGTATACCCTGTATATATGTGCCTTTTTATATGATAATGGCACGAATGGACAGTAGGTTATAATCCAGGATGGTGTGTTTAATATAGACACAATACACCCCACCTGGCAGGGATGATAGAGTGCTTATATTCATGAGAGTTTCTTGTCCTGGCAGGTGGGATCCTGTCCAGGCCAGATAGAAGTAGAATAATTCACTAAACAGTTGATAGAGTTCATATTGCAAGCTGGGTCATGTCGGTGGGATCATAATAATTACAAAGTGGCTACATTATGATGCTTATGATGTTACTCTGAGTGTATATCCACACCGGGCAAGCTTGAACGGTGGGAATCGAACCTACAACCTTTGGAATACTAGCCTGGCAATACTCTGCCAACTGAACTACTGTAAGCGGTCAGATCGGTTCGAATATGTGATATTTCGGAACAGAATCTAGTTCCTTCGATATCAATGTAATCGAAGGAACTAGAAAAATCATTACTGATTATTAGATTACATTGATATTGGAGGAATTAGATTCTGTTCCGAAATATCACATACTGTATTTGAATCAATCTGTCCGCGTAGGTCAGTTGGCAGAGCATTGGGCTAGTATTCCAAAGGTCATAGGTTCGATTCCCACCATGGTTAGGCATATTTTTTAATTACGCTTGCCCGGTGTGGATATATACTCAGCGTAACATCACAAGCATCATATTCCTGAGTACATGACACCAACACAGAAAAATCATTACTGGCTACAGTATATCATTCTACAGGTCCTTAAACAGACTTTGCCAGGCTATATTTACAGGCTTACAGTACTCTTACGTACTAAACCAGAACTATAAAATTTATTGTTAATGAAGGATTTCAGCGAGCTCAAAATTAGACAGAGTACAATAATCTGGCATTTAAAAGACAGTAAAATAAGGAAGTAGGACACACAAGGGTACAATACAACTTAATGGGTTCACTAGACACATGGCCATATTAACCCAACAAAACAGGAATACCCTGTACTTCTCAAGAAGTTTGGCAGGTCATTAAGATGGGGAGTTAACTGGATATTATACTAGGCTGGACATGGCATAAGCTGCATTGTGCCACAACTTTATTCTTTTACTGTGTCTGATGGGTCGTTCCAGAAAAGATCCACTCTCCCCTGGGCACAGAGGAAATTTCAACCGTCCGGAGGGGAGGCGAGGGGAGAAAAAATTGTTTCTGAAGTGTATAAGGACATTCGAATTTTGAAGGGGATAGGGGGTTAACTTCCAATTTCCTTCATGGGGGAGGTTAGGTATTGATGTTCTCTGGAATGACCCAACCTAATTTCTCTTGTTAACCCATTCACTGGCAATATGCTCTACTTTATATTACTCTGTCTAATGGCAGGAAATTTTACAGTTTTACTTGTTGAGAAGATAGCCTTGCAGCAGTTTCCAATTTGCCATGTATCGTCCACACAGAGAATACATTACTGGGGACGAGTCAGGGTAAAAGCCATATGAACCAAGGGTTATCAATTATGATAATACTAGAACCAACTTCCACCAAGGGTTGGGTTGTGCTACTACATTAGGTCTTCCCATTCGTAATAAGGTGCAAAGTTTATAGGTTGGATAGGAGGAAATTGCTCATATTGCTGCATGTGAACTGTGGACTTGTGCTATATACTGTAATGTTAACTGACTGTGGAGTTCCAGTACATGAAATACAGTATGTACAGCTAATGATAGTCTTGTATTTCCTTTCTTGTAGCTCATGTGACTAGACGTTTTGCGGGAGCAACAGCCACATCAGTGAAAGCTGCCATGGCCCAAAAGTGCAAAGACAAAAGAAATGCTGATACGAAGAAAAGAAAATTTGCAAAAGACATTTGAACTGCTAAGTTTTTTCCTTTATTATAAATTATTTTGTATGTTAGCTAAACATTTGTAGATATTAACTGTATAAATAAATTATTTAAACTTCCTACAGTATATATACCATCACTGCAGTATCTCACTGTTTGACAGGTTTAACTGTGCATGATTGAAGCTTTGCATAATTTCACATGTGAAACTGGAACATGTGATATTTCACATGTGTATTTGGAAGATGTGATATCTCGCATGTGAAGTTTCACATGTGAACACATGTGAAATTATGTGTTTCACATGTGAAGTTTCTCATGTGAATTTGGAACATGTGAATTTGGAACATGTGACTTTGCACATGTGAACACATGTGAAATTATGTGTTTCACATGTGAAGTTTCACATGTGAAATTTCACATGTGAATTTGGAACATGTGACTTTTCACATGTGAATACATGTGAAATTATGTGTTTCACATGTGAAGTTTCACATGTGAAATTTCACATGTGAATTTGGAACATGTGAATTCGGAACATGTGACTTTTCACATGTGAACACATGTGAAATTATGTGTTTCACATGTGAAACTTCACATGTGAAATTTCACATGTGAAGTTTCACATGTGAATTTGGAACATGTGAAACATAATTTCACATGTGAAATTTCACATGTGAAATTTCACATGTGAAAAATCACATGTTCCAAATTCACATGTGAAATTTCACACATGTGAAATCATGTGGAATTTTTGTAAGGGCAGCCTGACTGTATTTATCACAACCCTTTCAGCATTTCTATTTTATATCCAGGAGTTGGATCTATAGATGTACTTTAGTAATATCCGTCTCTCTAGTTTGCTATTTTCCATTTGATGTAAATAAATTGTTGCAATCCTGTCCACTGTAAACTGAAGGATAGAATTACCCATCATGCAACTAGAGTAGAGGGTATCCTCCAGCGCATCAATTACACAACGAGCTAATTGTACCAGGGACTAATTACGCATCTGTTTACTCTGTGTGGCAAAGCAAGACAAACGTTTGCTAAATTCTGCACACATGCCGCACAAATACAAATGCTGGTGAAAAAATAACCTCCTGGGGAATTTAATAACAACTTCCATTCACCGCACATTAAAGTAGCTCACCAATTTTGAAATGGCATCATCAGATGGTACTACCACAGCACCAACACCCACGGCTAGTACAAGGAAATTGCAAAACTGATAGGATACTGGTAACCAAGCGCATTGGTTTGCCTTTAAAAAAACAACTGAGTTATTTCCTGAAGTATTTCAACTTTACACTAGGTTATAGACGCTAGGCGTCTGTGCGGATTCTCTTAAAAATTATCTTTCTTTATAAATTGCAATTGTCATTTTCACTCTCAACCTGTTCTGGTATAAACCCGACTTCCCGGAATATTTAAAGCAATTCCAAGTATAGGAGTATTCGGATATATACACTCAGAATAACACCATACAGCTAAGGTTTACGATGCATGGAGACCGTTCTCAGTGCACTATATATATATATATATATATATATATATATATATATATATATATATATATATATATATATATATATATATATATATATATATATATATATATATATATATATATATATATATATATATATATATATATTTGTGAAACTCATTAATAATTCATGAAGAAAACACAAAAGAAATCACAGGCGTGAAGAAGTCTGTATATGCAATACAGATTCATGTTGATTTGCATAACCTTTAAGTTCAATTTTCTCACCAAATATCATTCATTTATTTTAAATTGTTGAAGAATATGAATGTCCTCATCAAGACGTTTTACAAGCCATTTCAGTACAACATTCGCGTCCGTGCTGTATCAGATACACAAACTCTCGCCTTCGGCTCGAATTTGTATATCCGATACAACACGGCCGCTCATGTTGTAAATAGTATATATAAGTATATATATATATATATAAGTATATATATATATATATATATATATATATATATATATATATATATATATATATATATATATATATATATATATATATATATATATATATATATATATATATATATATATATATATATATATATATATATTCGTAAATCAATATATATATTCGTATATCAATATTGATTTTATTCGTAAATCAATAGAATTCAAACGTCGTACAGATTTAGAAAAGCGCGAACTCGAAATGATAGCATTGAGTATTAAAAAGCCAAACTCTAAGGCCTTTCTCGTTACCACGTGGTATCGACCTCCTAATTCTGAAATTGAATGTTTTGACCTTTTTGAAGATTTCCTCAAATGTGTTGACAATGAATTTGATGATATTTATGTAATGGGGGATTTAAATTGTAATTTTCATAACAAACAACCTGACTGTCATACTCATAGATATCTCATATACACTAGATAGCGCATCTCGGAATACAAAACTGAAGCCAAAAATCTCAGCGGTTTCCCCCATGAAAATAGGCGGCGGCCATATTGGTCGTTCCCACTCATCAATGAAATGCTATAGAAAATACTATACTTTTCGAGGCTTTTTTGCATTTCTGGATTAAAAATACCTTTTTGAGGTACGTTCGCCTTGAAATCGCAGCTTTTTTGGAAAAAGGTACAAGAAAAAAACATTAATTGGCGATGTTGTTGTCTTTGAATCGCATTTTAAAGCTAAAAATTTCGAATTACGACATTGGCTTTATATACTTGTTTTGAATCTGTGAGTGATTCTCTGGTGAATCAATACATGTACTTACGGTTTCTGGCACCACTTTATGGAAATTGGTAAGTAACGTTTCGACTATCGGCGTAGGCAGTTCATACTGTAAAAAAACAGAGTCTGCACTTTCAGTTTGGGCAGTTTTCACTGTAAATCTTTAGTGAAATGTTTGAGACAGTCTGAGTCTGCACTTTCAGCTTGGGTAGTTTTCACTATAAATCTTTAGTGAAACGTTTGAGACAGAGTTTGCACTATCACTATAAATCTTTAGTAAAATTATGTTTGAGGCAGAGTCTGCACTTTCAGCTTGGGCAGTTTCATAGTAAATTTTAGTAATATTTAGCTTTCTCTGATACATTCTGTGTAATCACTCACACTGGTGCTTACAGTAAAAGGTACAAGTTTATTTAATTTCTTTCTAATTTTTTGTCCAGATGAATTCTCGGTGGTCTTTTTTCCAAGATGGTAAAATTTAACCTCACAGTAACTCTTGATGATGCTCTTGGTCAACTGAAATATAACATGATTTTCACCAACTGGTGAGTCAAAAATATGGTGATCTAGCTCAGTAAAAAGATTGGGTATGGACAATGAAGCCAGAACATATGGACAATGAACAATGAACAATGAAGCCAGAACAGAAGTGGTCAGAGCATATAAGTGTCTGCTTTCTGAGAACAGAACAGTATGGACAATGCAACCAGAACAAAAGTGGTCAGAACATATAAACATCTGCTTTTTGGGTGACCACTTTTCTTGATGAACATTTTGTATCAACTGTTTTCATAGTACTTCAACCTTAGGGATGCTTATCATGTTAATGCAAGTCTAATTTCAATCAATGCAAGTCTAATTTCAATCAATATAATAGTATACTGTAAAAAACTAAAAATAAATTGCTTACTGATGAAATGTCCTGGGAAGTTTTCTTTTGATTTTTGATTCTGTCACTTGACCCTTCACTATTACTTCTTATACTTTTTGCATCAGGAATGACTTTACCCATTGCTATGAAATTTTCTGAGTTTAATTCAAATTTTTAATTTCAATTGGCACCAAAACTTCCTCAAGTCTCCAAATTTTTTTTAAAATTGGACATTTTTTAATGATATTTACAGTAACCACTAAACTCAAAAGGCAAAAATTGAGAGTTTATCATGTTTTCAATTCCTGAGAGTACTGGCAAATTTATTTTATTTTTTTAGAAAAGTTTAATTATTGTGCATCTGATGAGTCAAAGAAAACACTATTACACAAAGTCAAAAGTAATACTTTATTATAACAATAGAATTATTTATACAATAGTGAGTGCAACTATATTTAAGATTATAAAATCTACTGTGCATCAAGCAGTTTATCCCATTGACCTTACAATATACAATAATGCAAGAAGCAATGTGTCTTATTACAAAATAGGGTTTCCCAAAGCAGTTTTAAAATTCAGCTGATTATCAATGACCTATATGCTGTTAATAATTACAGTAATTTGGCAGTTTGATTGCTTGAATTAAAAACAAAAGGTCTAGGACTCAACAGAAAGAAATATATCTTAACATCAAATATTAAAGATAGTTTGAAGCATTCATACAATTGAAGGTTTTAGAAAGTTTGAT